CCATACAGCAACCAATGAAATAAGACAGGAAACAACAGCTTCTCACAAGAGAAATCAAATCTTTATTTCCTCACAATCCAGACCTTTTACAGATTATCCAATGATCCAAAGCATTAAATCTGAATTCTAATCACTTAAGGAAATAATGATCCATGAAAAAAAAATCAAATCAATCTGATTCAGATTTTAGAATATAACAAGAATTGATTTAATTTTCTTTCATAAACCCAGAAAGCAAAAAAAAGAAAGGGAGAAAGAGAGAAAATAATACTTCCAATGCTTAATAGTTTGAAATCAAAACTCACAAGAAAAGCTGAACCTCTTGCCGAGCAAACAGATGATTTAAACCAAATATGAAAGGAATTCAGAAAAAAATAAATCAAACCAAGAACTCGTATAGAATAGAAGACTTTTCCTGTAAAACAAAACAAACTGCAGCCGAAATAAAAGAAAATCGAAAGGAAGAATGTGAGGTTCATGTAAGAATACAAAGTTCTAAATCTTCAAGGGAAGTTTTCTCACAAATTCTCTTTATCTTTAGAAGAACAGAAATCATAGCCAGCTCAAATAAATGATTATGATCACCATATTTCAATCCGCCTTTCTTTCTTGAAATTAAAACCACATTTTTAAGATCTATGAACGAGTGTAAGAGAGGAAAGAAGACTTCATGTTCTACAAGAAAAACCGCAAGTAATCTCTCCAAGCAACCAAATATAATTCTAGGGAAATATTAAAAATCTTATCTACTTCCTGATATTGTAACACAAGTCCATCTCATGAATATAAATTCTTATATAAATGTCTTTCTAAAGTCAAGAATCCCTTGAAACAGTCCAAGCAGAGGAGAACTTACTTCTGAATGTTTCCAGAAGTTTTTTTTTAAAAGAACTTAGAAGCAGTAAGCAAAAATAATCTCCAAATCCCAAGAATGGAAGAAACCAAATCCAAAAGAAATAGCCAATCAGCCAAAATTCCTCTTCAGTATACGAATCAAAAAAATTGAACCCAAAAACTTCCCTCAAATGACTTCCATAAAGTATAAAGCAAGCCTTAAGGAAAAGAAATCCTCAAATCGCTCAAACAAAAAAAACTTTTTAAATTCTTCCCCAAGGGGGTATTTATAGCTGAGGGAGAGGGATGCCCATCGATGGGGCTTACGCATTTGGGCAGGAAAATCCGCTAAAAAAAAAAGGTTACCGGTGAGGCGACCGACGACGTAAGTCGGTTAAGACCAGCAGGGAAGAGATGACCGGAGAACCGGAAGAAGCTTCGAGATCCGGTCAATAGAAGGGAGGAGGAAGAAAAGGTTCGATTAGGCCAAAAAAAAAAGGTTCTGAGAGGAGGAAGGGAGGAACGCGTGTAACGGAAATTGATTTATGGTTTTAAAACCTTCTCTTCGTTTTAAAAAAAATTATTATATATATTTTATTAGAAACTATCAAATTTTGTTCAAGCACGACGTTCCAACAAAACGAGTGTCCTCCCCAACTAAAATCGACGTTCCGGACGATACGGCGGAATCCGTTTTGTCATCCGGAGTCATCCGGACAAATTTGTCAACGATCGAGCCAAATTATTTGCGTGTGGCGCAACAAACGAAATTATTTTGATCCGATCGGAGTTGTTCAATGAGTAAAAAAAATATATAAAAAAAGATAATCGGTCTTCGCATAAGCGACAACCAAAGTCAAATAAACTGCTCACGGCAGAAAGTCAAACGTCACACACGTCGTGGGGTCCACCTATGTCTTTCAACCATAGGAACTCAGCTAGAGTTTCGATATGTCGGCTTTTCAATCGACTCAATCGAATCTTGAGGATCTGAAATCTTCCATATGAAACTTCAAAGAGCGAAGAAATGGCTCTAGTTTTAAGTGGTGTAAGTCCCAAGCTAATCCTCTATGAGGGTCAAAATAGAAAAGTCCTAAGGCTAGATCCTAGGGTATTTAAAGCAAGGAAAATGAAGACCTCAAAATTGAATCCCCCCTATCCTTCGAGGAGGAGGAAACTTAGTCACTAAGGCTGGGGACTTCCCTTTTCTTCCAGGAATTTCTTCCTCCACTCCCTACATGACCCTTAGTTCTCCCCTCGAAGCATTCCTTATCAAGATGACATGGGAGGAGTGGCTTGCCTCCGCTTGATCATGCAAACCCACGAATGAAGTCCTGCTAGGAGACACATTAGAAACCTCATCGACTGATGGGCAGACAGATAAGATCCCTTGATCTGGTGCATGGGAGATCTCGAAGACATCCTCAGTGCTACCTTCAAAATAACACTACTAAATAACTACGTGTTCGTACATATAAATAACCAAAATAAGGGAAACCACCTCACCTTCAACACCTTCCTCGACTAATCTAAAAGGGTTGGACCGATCCTGGCATCTCCTAGACAAAGGAGGGTCAACTCTCCCTCATCGATTCTTCAAAGCTGCCCTCTCCTCAACAACTTTCTCCCTTGACACTTCTCGAGTATCAGATGATGCCTAAAGCACTTCAGTCATGCCTTCGGTACCGTCAAGTGAATCATACGTCCTATGACACTTAGATTGAGATATTGAAATAATGATTGGCTCTAACCCTCGATCGGCACTTTATGATCTCTGAGGCTTTCGGGCAGATTTTTCACCTTCTTTACCTCGCATTCCACCGAGATAGTGCCGACCTTGCAATAGCTTCCATAGAAATCCATAAGAAACTTTTCTTTCCAATTTATTATCTTGTTCTGAAGTCCCACCAAATGGATCTTGGAACTAGCAGCAAACTACATGTAATCGTTTCGATCAAATCTGAAAGAGAAGAAATGATTTAACAATTCGATCGACCAAGGAATTTTCATCCTTTGGAAAAAGATAACGAAGGTCTAATGGTAGTCATGAAGTTGGGAAGAGCTTGAGTAGGAATAACCACGTATCGTATGAAAATCAACTATAATTCCTTACATAATGGTAGTTGAAGACTCATTTTGAATTGATACTTATAAAAAATCAACTCGGCAGAAAAATATCTCTCGCTCGCTCATGATTGGCCGCTAGCTGAAGTTGAATAGAAGGGTAAAAATGTAGAGGCTATGAATCTTTCCCATGTCCGTTGCGAATGGAAGCAAACCCCCTCGAATGGAAGTAAACCCCTTCCCTCCCCCGCCCGCCCGACTGGAAATGATCGTAAGGACACCCCTGAGTTTCTTCCATGCCCTCTCCTGAAATGAACCCACAAAGAAACTTGAAGAAACAATACGATCCTCGTGCTCCTCTGATCGTGGCTTCTGTACGACTCTTTTTTTACTCAACTCCCCAATAAAAAACCTCACTCGCTGGTTTTTATTTTGCATCTGGTTTGTAATTCTTCGCCCACATTTCACTCATCACCTTAAGAAGTGCATCCTTGTCAGCAAATGACACTCCCCCACCGGGCATATTAGCAGACATGTAATGGAAAAGATGAAAACTCTCAAAAAGTGGGAAGGAAAGGAGAAGGCACGAGTTTCCTCTATCTCATGGCTTATTTATAACAATCTAGTTAGAAAAATCTAGGAAAGTTCATTTTTATACAAGAATGTCATTTAATTATTTCTTGCATATTGAATAGATTCATTTATCCTTATGTGATGTGCAGCTTCCAAGGAGTAAGGCAATCGGGAAACTAAATATGTATATGAAAAATAAATCAGCATAAATCTCAAGAAAGAAGAATGACTCGGAAGGAAGATATGACCAATTGAAGGTGGCAGTTGATGACCATTTGGGATGGAGATTGGAGAAGAAGGCATCTAGTTCGAGCAATCAGAAGAATGTGCCAGTGGATTTCTTACAGTGCGGCGATCGGCCCTCAGGATGATCGGCAAGAAGAACCCATCTGAATCAAAGGCGAATGAAGTATAAGCTTAGCAGACGGCCGATGAACTACCTATCAGCTGAATCAGTCCTCTGGTCTTATTATATCTGAATACCTCTGTAATTACCAAAAAAATTCCTCTGGAAAGTCGATAATGAGGGAACTAATATGTAATTTATAAAACAGGGTCCCATTCTTATAAATCTATATCAAAGGATATTAGTACGACTATTTATGGAATTATCGGTTTTTCTCTAGCAAATTATATATTTTGAGGTAGGTATTGCTATAGAAGTTATGAATAAAACAAATTGAAATGCCACTAATCCATTGCACCCAAGCTTGGTGTGGTTGTATAGTATAAGCTTTGCATTACGTTGGGATGTAATTCATGTTAAATAACGTTCAAATTTGATTCGCATTAAATGACATTAAAATTCATATAAAATCATATGTAGTGACTCATTAAAAGATATTAATCGCCATAAAAAGATAATGGGTATTGTGAAGAATGAAAATGAAATATTAAATAGAAATGCTTGTATATGGATGTTATCAGAAGAAGTTTATCCCTTATAATATTAGTTACGTACATTATAATACCCTCGCGATTTCTTGACTTCTATTGTGGTCTGTGTGTGTGTGAGTGTGCGTGCTAATCTCATAATCAGACAATGATATGTTTATTTTTCAAGACTAAATAATCTCGTCATATTTTATTATTCATATGCAACGCATGATACAATTTTCTTTCATAGTTCAAATTATTGACAAGCATTCACGATATATATTCTTTTATTATTGTGATTTGGAGCTTCAAGTATCCTGCTAAATTATTTTTAATAACACATTATTATTACTCATTTAAAAAATTCAGATTTAAATAACTGAGAATCATTGTTTATTTTTCACAAGGCAACACCAGATAAGGAAATTTTATTACAACTTTGGTTTAAATTTTATAGTATTTACTACCATTAAATTCAGATATAGATAGACTCTTAGAAATATATAAACTTAAATTCAATATTAATACAAGTAAAAGTTTTAAATCACCATCTTATCTTGATGATTCCAAACTCCCGGCCAACTTGTGACAATCAATACAATTTTATAAAGAAAACTTCCCCAAATTAATAGGACGATAAAGTAGCACTCAAAAAAAAAAAAAAAAAAGGTCCCTTTAGTTAGATTTATGTACAATACAAACATCACCTCAGCTAGGACAACATTTCCAATTCTAACGGTAATGCCATAAAAATTGTTGAGTGTTCTCTGCAATCACAAGCATGCATAACAGTACAGCCAAACAAGACAACACTGGCCACAATAGCCATAAATCGTAAACAATGAAACCTTGCGGCATCCAAATCAAGAGGACTTGCCGAGGAAAAAGCAACTGCAAGGGAGCACACAAGAAGCAAATCTCTGCTAATGTTCCTCTGCAGTGAAATCAGGCTCCGAGGGTTTCTGCAACAGCATCACCGGCAGTCTTTCCTGCAGCCGCGTCTTCCGAGTCCCATTCCGTCGCAGGACGCGCAATGCATTAACTGCAAATTTGGAGGCATATATTGTGGCCCCGAGGCTGGGTGAATTGCTGTTGCCTTTCACAAGCGCAGCCTGCAACCTGTCCTCTTCTTTCCGAAGGGATTCTTCCAGCTTCTTCCGTGAATATCGACGCCAAGCCGCCTGTATAAAACAAGCCGCCCATGTTCGCCACTGCTGTGAATAGAACCTAAAGGTGTGGCGAAGTTGCTTGCTGTGGAGTCTTCGGAATTGGGTTGCCACAAATTTAAGATCATCAGCTGACAGAGCAAAACCTTCGACTTCGGATAAGGCCTTCACTGTCCTCGTTGATATTGGCAGGCTGGAAGAAGAATGGGGGTCGAGAGCCCAGGTGAGCAGCTCTTCCCCGCAGAAGTCGCCACCTTTGAGATAATCAGAATTGAAGAAACCAGTCCTTCCGCCATTTGTGGTCACACTCAGCAACTTTCCTCTCATGATGAAGAGCATTTCATCCACGGGGTCCCCTTCACGAACAATGCAGCTTTCTTCAGTGAACAGAGCGGGTTTCAAGCAATCACACATGGCATCTATTAGTTGATAATCCATCTTTTCAAACATTGGAACCTATAAGGAATGAAATGAAATTTATTTTGCTTTTAATAAAGATGTACATACAAAATTATATTGCACAAATTTAAGGTGATGATGTACAAGTCAATTAGTAAAAAAGTTCAAATATTCATAAGCCGATCAAATTATGGAGGGTCACTGATGTGATTAGAGTGGAAACCACCAACAAGAAGGTACATACATATGCCGCCGGTACTCAGCATTGTAGACCTTAAAAATAAATATCTATAAATCATGAGTATGAAGAAATCTTTGATTCAGTTAGTTTGAAGATGACAAATGTTGAGTATGGAGGATTTTTTCAGGCGCGCTCCGTGGCTGACTATCGAGCATGAGACGGGACCTGTTGGCAGCAGACGACTCAGACGTGGGAGAGGATCCTTGGGTGCAGCTGATCGGAGCGGTAGATTTAATGCAAATAATTGAACATTGGGCTCTGTTCATTAGATGTGGAGAAAGCATGAAACAAGGGTAGGTAAGTATTTACTTATATTTAATAAATTATAAATTCCAAATTCAAATAATATTTAAGATATAAACAATGTTTGAAGCCAGATTATTATTAGGATTTTCAGGAGGAAGAAGAAAGCTAATTGGCAATAAGGGTCGAACAAGTTTTGAGGTGAGTTACAAGTAAGATGTTGACCTAATGATTTAAGAAAATATTTTCATAATTTTTGTTCAATTTGAAGTCAAGTCAATCTAAATTCTTATTTAAGAAAATTAGAATATAAAATAAATATACAAAAAATTGGTCACCCTATGACTTCTTAATGAAATATGATAGATAAGCACATATATTTAGTAAATTTTAATCTTAAAAGATTATGTGGAGAAATGATGGGAATGTCAAATTAGTAATTAAGCCATTATTATTATTATCATTAGAAGGTTTGTCATAATTAATGAATGAAGTTGAGAAGACAACATACAAAATTATGAGGATATGTTATGTTAACCATAATAAATAAAATTAAGAAATTAGGGACTTAATTAGAATATTAAATTAACAGTTTGCAAATATTAAAAGTAGAAATTAATTAAATAAAATTTACAATTTACATAGCATAAAAGAAAAAGATATTAAATAATAAACAAATGTATGTAAATTAAATAAAACATTTAATCTAGATAATGTATATAAAAATTTATTTGATGATTGAAATTAGTGATTTAAATATCATACTATGTTAAACATTGAATACGGTATAACAAATAAAAGCTAATAATTCAAGAGAGAAGGCAAAAGGGCGTAATTTAAAAAAAATTAATTAATATGGTACATCATAGGAATAGTTATAGGTTCTCAACTTGAGTGAACAAAAATCTTTAAAAAAAAACACAAATCATTAAAGATTGAGATGAAACTCGTAATTTTGAATTACTATAATATATATATATATATATATATATATATATATATTCTAGACCAAATGTATCAACTTATTGTGATACTTCTTCAATCTAATGTTATTGCATATTATATCATACAACAAGAAGTCTTTATCCAACTAAATCGAATCGGCTACATTAATCTTTTTTTCTCCACAGTGTCCTATTGAGTGTCATATTTTCATTTAATTCTAATAAATTAGGATCATTTTTTATACAATGTGTTCAAGTCTTTTTAGGTCTACCACTACCATTCTTAATATACGTTAAATCTAAAATATCCACTCTCCTAGCAGGGTCACATTTAATGTGACCGAACCAACTGCGACAACTCTCTCTAATCTTGTCTGCCACTGGAGTTACTTCAACCCTTTCACGAATATATTCATTTCACATTTTGTCTCTAAGTGCAATGCCACTCATCCACCTCAACATTCTCATCTCGGAAACACTTAACTTTATAGTATACTTCTCTTTTACAGGCCAACATTCTATGCCATAAAGCATTGTAGGTCTCACCAACATCTTATAAAAATTTTCTTTTAAGCCTATGCGGTACTTTTCTATCACATGATAGACACGATGCATGTCTCCACTTCAATTATCCAATGTGAATTCTACTAATAGCATACTCATTTATATTACCATCACTTTGAACAATAAACATAAGATAACTAAAGTGTTCACTCATTTTAATCACTCGAGCACAAATTAGTATAACTCCATCACTACATCTACTACAGCTAAAATGACATTCCAAATATTCAATTTTAGATCTACTCAAATAAAAGCCTTTAGACTCTAAAATTAACCTTTATAAATTAAGTTTTTCTTTAACTCTCTCTACTCTTATCCACAAGAAGAATAATATCAGCAAAAAACATACACCAAGTTACATCCTCATGTAAATGTCTAAAATGTCTAATAAGAAGTCTAATAAGAACATTCATAACTAAAGCAAAAACATATGGGCTTAAAGCCGATCTCGGTTGTAATCAAACTGAAATAAGAAAATACTTGGTCAATGCTCCTTGTGTTTGAACACAAGTAACAACTCTAGGTCATATACATATCCTTAATGATTTGAATATAAACAAACTCAACACATTTCTTTTTCTAGAAGTCTCCAAATTAATTATGTTGGAATCATTTATCATAAGCTTTTTCAAAATCTACAAAAATCATATGTAGATCATCCTTACTCTTTGTACTTCTATATCAAAGATCTCAATAAATGTATAGGTTTCATAATAGACTTGCCTGACATAAATCCAAATTGATTTTGAGAAATTTTATATCACATCGTGGTCTATGTTCAATTACTCTCTCCTATAATTTTAATGCATTACACGTTAACTTAATTCTTATATAATATACACACTCTTCTATATTGCCTTTATTATTAAAAATATGAACCAATGTTGTTTCTCCACTCATTCGATATCTTTTTAGTTGTTAAAATGATATTAAAAAATTTATTAAGACAAGAAATTGACAAATCTCCTAAATATTTTTAAACTTTTATTAAAATACTATCACATACTCCCTACCCCCCCCCCCCCCCCCCCCAAATTTCCATTTTACTAATGTGACAATAAAAATAAAAAACTATTATTACATATGATATTAAAATCACTAAAATCAGTCGTGGCCAATACAAACCATAATTGCTAATAAGGATTATTCAATTAGGTTGGATTGGCCACATCCTTTGAATAAATAGATTAAGGTCTAAAATAATTTGGGATAACAAAAGAATGGGATCTTGATTGGGTTTATTATCATTCTCACTACCAACCACTCTAAATTAACAACAGTAAATTTCTTTACCTAAAAATAAATTGTTGCTATTATAAGCTAAGCATATATCACCCGCATACTAGTTTTAATTGAATTTTTTCTTATAGTGTGCCTAAAAAAACCTTAGGAGCTTGAAGTCTTCATAAAATGATGACAAAATCTGTAACGGTGTCCTATCTATAATTTAATGAAACTTCTAAGAATTTGATCCCAAAAATTACAAAACTCTCAAGAGAGGCCGGTGTGCAAATTTTTAAAACCCGCATTTTAACTCTAAAAACTGCAAGCACAGGCACCTAATATTGATCAAAATACATATAATTTCTATGGCACATGTGCTCGTTCTTGCAAAAAAAAAAAACAAAAAACAAAACAAAACAAAACCAATGGCCACTGCAATTGAATGACAAGACAATTTTTCACAACTTAGATAAGTGGCGGCAAGAACATTCTCTCTGTGATGAAACAATTTGCAATAACTCGGTGTTCATGATGAATCATTACAATTCATAAAATTAGTGTATCCTGGATTCACTATAGGGCTCTCTAAGGCTAACCGTTCTGTGCAATATAAGCAAGTGAAGCATGAGACTAGAGTTTCATGTGAACAAATAAATTCATGTCACCACTATTATTAATCTAATTTACTGCCGGTTCATCAATCAATTAAATAGCATATGAAAGCAAATGCAATAGAATATGTGCCACAGAAATCAAAAGTGATTTGAAAGATAAGCTTAAGAAAACCATATTGGTATATTTTTTTTATGGAGTTTAAAAAATTAAACAAAAAATGCCACATTGGCCTATTTAAGATTGATTTCAATTGCCTCGGATATTACATGAAGAAATCAAAGAGTTTGAAAATAAGTTAAAAAGACCACATCCTAAGGGAAAAAGAAAAATGTCACCTGTGACTTGGATTTGAACAGAAATGTTAGTGATGCCTTCAGTGCTAAGATCACAACATACACACACAGATATGGTTGGACATAAAGCAACCAACCACTAAACAAAGTTGGCAGCACAGCATACTCATGAATTCTTACATATTTATATATCTAACACCAAAATGTTATACTAAAATAATACCCTAGCCTTTAACATCACATAAAAAGATCACAAATAGTAATTTTTTTAAGTAAACACAACTTTTATGCATATATTTTGGTGTTGATTATAACACTAAAATGTTATATACATAAATCTTAAATTTTAGGTATTAAATAAATCCTTGCAAAAATCAGAATTACAAAATTATTTACATTAACAAAATATAAAAAAGTACATAAAAAAATTTATTTTTTTTTCAATACAAATAATTTTTTTTACAAGCTATATGCTCATAGAACATTAACTCGTATCTTCTTTCATTTCAAAACATTTTCCTTTTTCCTTTTAAGTGCATATTCAACCGTAGTTAAGTAAAATAAAGCAGTATATGCTTAAGCACCTGTCATTGGACTCAAAAAAATCCTAGGACTAATCATCGGACATCCAGCAGTCAAGAATACCCTAATTGATCCAGAGGACCTAAAAATGTAAATCATTCATGAAATATGCTCTATTTACACATGAATAATAAATGCAGAATTTATTCCTTTTATTTTTCCTATAACAACAATGTCTCATAATCAATGATACAGATTGTACTCAAATCTCAATTCTTTTAGTTCCATATAAAATTATTTTCAACAATTAAAATATAATCACGAAATGTATGGTAGATCTAAATTAATGATAATTTACTATTGAACTTGTAATAATTTATAATATATCAAAATACATAAATATGAAAATATACGGAATTATAAAAATCATATAAAAAGACATATTGCCAAGTTGGCATGGGATCTGTGAGCACATATGATGGAACTGCACATGTTAGCATTGTTAGGGCTGATGATCAAGATAGTAAATGTCCATAAGTTAGACATGATAAAATTGATTTTAGTTTTCACTTTATTAAACACTGTAATTGACCACACTATTTTAACCATTTTTTTATTAAAACCTTACAAAAAACCAAAACCAAAATTGAAGAATGAAACCATCAAAACCACCTAAATTATCAAATCTAAACTTTTGTAGTGGGACTGAAGCCAAGTTTAAACCCTTGAGCAATGACCCATTCCCGATTATAGTTATATGCCAATGAAACAGTATAAAAAATTTTACTTCATCGCTATATGCCATTGGTTAGTTTAACAGCACAAGCCTCTTTTACTTGAGACAGACAAAACCTTATTCCTGACCATTTTTCATGCATTCCAACTTAGAAAATTCTCAAGAGGGGAAGACTGAGGACTTTACAATTATATCATATGCAAAAAGCAGAAAAGATATGTCGTGATAGAAAGAACATAATTGAAAATAGGATACCCTCATGAGTAGAGCCCAACAGAGGTGTCGCTTGATGTCTCTTCTGAGATCCTTAGGAAGGTTTTGAAGGAGGCTCTCTTCATCAACACCTCTTGTCTCTTGCCATTTGTACTGCTCATATCGACGTATTCTATCCCTCAAGCTCTCTGGAAGTAAACGATGGGACATCCATTGCTCTGAATCTCTCCTTTTTACCCTCATTTCTTCTACTCTAACAGTGGTGGACTGAAGGTAGGTCTGTAAACGTGAAAAGTAAATTACGTAGCATCTAGGTTTGCAAGGGCAGTTTCTGAGACACAGCTTTTATAAAATGGAAACTACAATGAGGGGAAAGAAAGTGTACTAAGCACGTATACGAAGATGAAAATGAACCAAAATTTCCATTGCAGTATATATCATATATTCATCATCAAAAAACAGAAGAGGAATGAAGAACTATCTAATACAAGATGATGGTATCATGGTAAGCAAAATCCCTCCACAGCAGGGGCAGAAACCAATATAGGCCATGCTCCAGCTCTGTATAAATAATAACCACCAATACAGCAAAAAAACAGAAGCAATGGAAATCCCGTGATAAAATGAATACTTTTAAAATCTTTAGCTAATTTTTTCAGAGAATAAGCAAGAGGATAAATTATTGTGAAGGCCATGTTTGTGATCAGGTTGTGCTTTGTACCCACATAGCTTTTGTATTAAATTTCTTTTAGAGGAAGACAAAATAAGTTTAATATGTTAATTAGAACCAAAAACATATATTTTATTCTCTAAACTGTGTTTTAAATTTAACTGGCACAACCAAATCTATCACCTAAATGGTGCAACTATATTTGTAGCTTTGCACTACCGCGATATATAAAACATCTGAGAGTTGGTTCAGAAAAACAGTTACTAGAAAAAAGCCGCAAGTGTTTCATTAAATTTCTTGAATGGGAATAGAAGAAAATTGTCTTTAAACGCTTTATAAAAAAGAATTCAACAAAAAAAGAAACCAACTTGACTTAATTTATAAAGCAAATGGATAGATTTGTTAAAAAATATAACTCAAAATAGCTTGAAAACTGTTGTCCTATTAACACTTTCCAACGTCAATGAAAGATGGCAGAGTATCATAAGTGTTTGAACATGCATGCTATCAAAATTTAAGTTATTGAATTATCCGAATATGGTTCATCCAAAATAAAAGTGATGACGTGTCATACGATTGTATCCTATATCAACTAGCCTTGGATGCTTAAAAAAAGGCTTTTCGAAAGAGTTTAAAACTGGTAGCCATGGAAAAAATAGCAATGGAACAGACTCGTTGTCGTATAGGTCTCCCCGAAATAGACAGGTTTTGTAGTATAATGGTTGAGGAGATGAATAGCAATTATAAGAGAACAACAGAGCCATCAATGATTAATCATCCTGTGGAGAATCTAGAGGCTTCAAAGGAAAATATCAATAGCGATCTCATAGTATTACTTTGAACTACTAACAGTGGCTTCCTTTTATATGCATGTAAATACTAATTTATATAAGATGCAAAATGGCAAGTAGGTGAAGAAGGTGATAGTCATCATAATCAATATTGTAACTTTAAGAATGTGGGTAAAATATGAAGAAGTGCACATAGATTGTCATGGGACTCAAATCTAAGAGATTCATCATCAAATAATGCATTATGATCTTGAGTATTGCATGTTTAATTGAGGAAAATGACCAGCAGCATAATAAGTAGATTTAAAAGAGTGATAATAGCATTTATATCAGTCCTAGTAATGATATAATGATTGTGGAGATCAATCAACATAATTATTTTAATGATTCTCAAAATAAAGAATTTTCACTTACAGGTGACCTTCCTTTTTATCAAGCAATATAAGAAGCTTTGCAATAGTTTGAAGGGACCTTATAATTTGTAATTATCACATTCACATTAATATATGCACCAGTGGCTTCCTTTTATATGCATGTAAATACTAATTTACATAAGATACAAAAGAGTACGTGAAGAAGGTGATAGTCATCATACTCGAGATAGTAACTTTAGGATTGGAGGTAAAATATGAAAATTCACAAACAGAATGTCATGGGACTCAGATCTAGGAGATTCATTATCAAATTATGCATTACGATCTTGAGTATTACGTGTTTGATTGAGGAAAACAACCGACATAACAAGTAGATATAAAAGAGTGATAATAGCATTTATAACAGTCCTAGTAATAATATAATGATTGTGGAGATCAATCAACATAATTATTTTCATTATTTTCAAAAGAAGGATTTTTTGCTTACAGACAACTTTCCCTTTTAGCAAGCAATATAAAAAGTTTGCAATATTTTGAAGGAGCCTTATAATTGGCAATTATCGCATTCACATTAATATATTCTTGCAACATTATGTTTAGGACAAAATTCTCTTAAATGTTAAACTATAGTTACATCTTATTGAGCAGGTTATTTAGAACAATATTTTTTCAGTATCACTGGATCTACTATTACTAGAATCACATTATATGTTTCAATTTTAGATTTACTCAAACGGAAGCATCTAGAAGCTAAAGTTGACCTCCATCATTCAAATTTTCTTGAACTCTTTCTCTCTAGTCTTATCCACAAGAAGGGCATCATTATCAAAAAGGATAAACCAAAGTGCATCCTCCTGTAAATGTTTAGTGAAAGCATCCATAAAAAAAGCAAAAAAGATAATTGATCCCTATTGTAAACAAACTAAAATAGCAAAATACTTGGTCAACCCTCCTTATTTTCAAACACAAGTAACAGCTCGAGTATATATATCTTTGATGACACGCATATAGGCAATACCAACACCTTTCTTTTCTGGAACTCTGCAAAGTACTTTTCTTGAAATTTTATCATAAACTTTTACTAAATTAAAAAAAATCATTTGTAGAATCTCCTTATTCTCTCTATACATTTTCATCAAACCTCTCAATAAATGTATGGATTACATAGTATACTTCCCTGGAAAGAATAAAATCACCAATGCTACCATAAGTTTACACATTTTTCATTCTAATCCTAGACACTAATTGATCAACTTTTCTAATTGGTGCATTTTCAAGTTAATTTACAAAACCAAATCATCAAAGTCCATTTTCAACCAGTTCATCTTCAATGGATATCATTCCAACCGTTTCTTTAATATATTCATCTCTAAATTTATCATCCCAGTTTTACGATCATTGTTTCTTCAAACTCAGCTTAGTTATTATAATCTTTTTCTTCTTTACTGCCCAGCGCATTTATACACACACACACTCACACACATACCAATTTTATAAATAAAGTATAGGGGCATAAAATCATTTTTGCACTCTAAGCTATGTACTTTTTCTCAATCTAATGAAATCTGAGAGCTTCTCACTCTAAAATCACTTTTTAGTTGTTAGATTTTTTTACTTGCTATTCTAATTAGTGAAATTCTAGTGTCATAAATATGTATGTATGTTTGGATTGAGGTGTGTAAGCGACTAAATTTATCTTCCAACCCCCTTTCAGCTTCATTTGCTCAAAATCCTTTCAAATTAGCTCAATTTTAGGGTTTTCATGGTTTAGGGTTTCCATAAAGAAACTTACCTACTAAGAACAGTCGGCAAGGCGCAGCTAGGTGGAGATTTTTTTTTGCCTCAGTGAGAAAGATTGCAGGTTTGTCATTTTTACGGGAAGCTTTTTTGAGAAATCCGGTTTCAATCCCAAGAGCAAAATTATCGTGATATCATTGCGGAAACATATTCGAAAGAGGAGCGGAGACTGGGTTATCACTGGCGAGGGTTGCGGCGTAGGAACGTCCTGAAGTCATTTCTTTAGATGCAACAAGAAGCGCAGCTGAGAACTCGCGACGAAGAAATCGGGAGAGTCGAACGAAGTCGGGAGCCGCAGAAGCGAGGCACAACCGAGACGTGCGACACTTCGAGTGTGACAGTGCGCGATGGACAGGAGTCGCAGAAGCGCGACCGCAGGGCTGACAGACGCGCGTAACAGTGTGCGACGAAGAAAACGCCAAACGCTCGGAGGAAGCGCGATGGAGAAGAGATACAACAAACTGCAATCGACGAGGAGACCAGGTTTCGCCATCATGGCGAAACCCTAGCAGAAAGAAATCGCTTCAGGATACGGTACTTATACATAGTAATTATATGTATTGTTTTCATATATTACAAGTAATTATTAAGCCTTACTATGTGCTGTTTTACTTGGATATCCAAAATGAAAACTTTTTTTATAGTGTTTAGCCTTTAAAAAAAACCTATACATAAGTGTCATGGAAAAAATCTGAGACATCAAATCATTTGTAAAGCCTTACAGTTTTCTTAATCTTACCATTGGATAGATGGATAGATGGAGAATCCTGTTGTGTGCTTTTTAAGAATAAAAGGGATGCACAAGTGTGCAAATTATAGAGGAATTAAGTTGATGTGTCATACTTTAAAGTTATGGGAGAGGGTAATTGAACATAGGTTATCACAAAGATTTCTTATAATC